GATAGATAGATAGATAGATAGATAGATAGATAGATAGATAGATAGATGATAGATAATTCATTCTATCCATTCTGTTCCTCTAGAAAACCCTAATACACCAGGTGATACATTTGGGCTGCCAACTTTCTGAGATAGAGTATCATGTATCCAAGGCTGGCCTGGAACTCTGGATCCTGAGCTGAAACTCAAACCAGCCCAAACTTAGCTTGGAAACAAAAGGCTACCCTATATGACTGATTCAAGTATTACCCAAGCCAATGGTGGTGGTGCACACCTTTAATCCCAGCACTTGAGAGGCAGAGGCAAGCGGATCTCTGAGTTTGAGACCAGCCTGGTCTACAGAGTGAGTTCCAGGACAGCCTGGACAACACAGAGAAACCCTGTGTCAAAAAAACAAAACAAAACAAAACAAACTGTTTCAAGTATTACCCAAGAGGGAGCCTGAACCCTGAATAAAGAGAAAGAAACGAAGGCTTTTGGACCCACTGTGAGTCACTGTGATTCAAGACAAGAGACAGCATATGACAATACAGGCACCAGGAAAGCTTTAGTGAGGATGAGGCAGGTCTTGGTCCAGCATGCTAAGTGCAGAGCCCACAGAGCCAGCAGGAATAGTGAGGTCATGGTTCCCCTTCACTAGAGCTTAATACAAACCCCCTTGCCCCACAGGGCATCTGGGAAGAAGATGTAGGAGAGCGACCAGATCAGGCAGTAGAGGGCAGTGAGCGAGAACGGGGAGAAAAACAGCATGATGACACCTGCAGAGAGAAGCAGACACTCAGTCTCGTGAAGTGCCTCATGTGGCTCCTACCCCACCCTGGTCCCTCACAGAGCTGAGGAAACTGCAGCAAGAGAAGCAAAAGCCTGTGTTTATGTTCAGTTTAGTAAGTATATGTAAGCTGCTAATGCAGACTCAGGGTCCATTCTTTTGATCTCAGACCAGAAGCCAAGTTCTAGCCAAGACTGAATTCAAGTTGGCCAGAGCCTTTTCAGGGGGGAAAAATCTTCCTGGTTGTTTAGAGTTTAACATGCAATGTTCCATGCTTGAGGCTGCTTATGGAGTGGCCTCAGGCTCACGCCAGTAGCACTGAGTAATCAGTGACTCGCTCCGCCCAGCCAGTGCAAGTACAGTCTGTGCTGAGCAGCCACTTCCCTTGAGTCTGGCATTCGGTACCTGCTAGGCAGAGGGTACCTATGTGAGTCTCTGATGACCTTCCCTGCAAGACAATGCTTCATATGCATGAGCCCAGTTCAGGGTTTGGGAAGCAGAGTATTACTCTCTTCTGTGGTCACTTCGCATGCACCTTTTCCCTCTCGTGATTTTGAGCCACATCCTTTATTTTTGTTTTTGTTTGTTTTAGTTTCTCTGTTACAGCCCTGGTGTCCTGGAACTGACTCTGTAGACCAGGCTAACCTAGAACTCGAGAACTCCAGCTACCTCTGCCTCCTGAATGCAGGGGTGAAACCTCAGGTGTAACCTCAGCGGCCCACCTCCTCGTGCTCTAACCAGTCTTAGCTATGAGCACAGCAGCATGCCCAGTCCTCCTAAGAAAGCACTGGACCTAGATCTAGTCTTAGGTACTCCCAAGACAATGGAATTTCACATGAGACACATCAGGCACAAGGACTCCAAAATTAGGGGCGCTTCTACTCGGAACTGGATACTCTTCCAGGTGCTATCAATTGCTTCACTTACACTTCATAATGCTCCTATGATTTAGAATTACCTCTGTTTCCTCATAAGAGATCAGGAGGAAGTAACCTACACAGGGGCCTGATTCAAGGCCTGACCTTTAAAAACTAGACATTCTTCCTCAGTTAACAAGAACACGGGGCAACAATAGTCTTATGACAAGCTCCTCACGTAGCTCAGGCTGTCCTCAAACTTGCTCTGTAGCTGGGGATGACTTTGAACTTCTGATCCTTCTGCCTTCAGCTCCACAGTGCTGAGATTACAGGTGTGCACCACCACAGCCAGTGCAGTACCAGAGATCAAACCCCAGGGATCCGTGCGAGCCAAGCAAGTACTCTACCAGCTGGACTACACACTCAACATGACCAACATGTATTCTGTGAGAACCTGTTAATCATAACAGGTGACCTAACAAAAGGTCACTTCCAGGGGAAAGAATCAGTTAATGTGCTAGAGTTTCAGCATACTATAATTGGAGACCAGTCTGCTGAGACAAGGAGGCAAGGTTTAAAGTCAGAATTGTCCTAAAAAATAGACGACATTATTTCCCCAAAGCTAGCCATGGGCCAGCTCCTTGAAGCTCTGTAGGGAAAAGGGGTCTTCAGTCTAAGGTGACCGGCAGTCCCCAGGCAAGCGGAATATCTACAGCGGCCACTCTGAAATGTGCACAAAACTGGCATTAACAGGTGTCAGAATCTATGAGGTGCCATTTCCTCCTTAACTCATACAGCAAAGCAACCCAGGAGTCTCGTGCTAAGCATGTGGTTTATTTTGAGCAAAGGAGATCAACTCCAGGAACAATGACCTCTGAGGAAAACACTTGCTATGAGCTGGGAGAGGGGAGGTAGAAAAGATGGAGCCAGCAATTGCCATTTCTAGTCCAGGACCCTACCACAGGACTGCCTCATTGCCTCATTCAGTTGCTGTGAGCCTGTAAGCTTCAGGAACTTGGAACTGAGTTCAAGATAGTGAGCTGTTGGGGGCTGGAGAAATGGCTCAGCGGTTAAGAGCACTGACTGCTCTTCCAGAGGACCCAGGTTCAATTCCCAGCACCCACATGGCAGCTCACAACTGTCTGAAGATCCAGTTCCAGGGGATCTGACACCTTCATACCAATGCACATAAAATAAAAGTTAAATAAACTATAAGGAATGTTTTAAAAAAAAAAAAAAGATGGTGAGCTGTTAGTCCAAGTTTATACACCCATATGCGGAAGTCAGAGCTTCAACTGAGGCACGTTTAGCTACAAACCCAGTTTCTCCTCACCATTCTGCCTCTGCCACCTAGGGCACAAGAGAGTCAGCACCCAGAACTTCGTCAAGGAGACTGTACTAATGCCACATAAAATATGAACCTGAAGGAAACATGCTCTACGACCCAGAGTGGATTGACAGCAAAGGGATAATGGGAGAAACTCAAGCCCCCAGGGATGCTTTTCTTGTTGGCTTGCACACCTTAAAGGAAGCCCTAATTCGGGACAAACTGTGAGCATTTTACATGAACTTCCTCCTTCAATGTCAGCTCTCGTTCCAATACTTATCTCAAGTCCAGTCGCCTCTCTCCAGCCTTCACACCACTTCTGAGCACCTTCCCCTGGTGCTCCCTTGTCTGTTCTCTGTTAGTCCAAGCAACGGCTGGAAGCGGCTGCCCTCATCATGTATGACTTGCTGCCTGGATCCCACCCAAGGCATCTTAGTTGCCTTTAGGATCAAATCCCTAATCCTGCCCAGTCTGCCCACTTCACTGGCCTAAGTTTTTGTTACTGGCTTTCCACACAAGTTCAGCCACACTGCTCCCTTCCAGCACCTTCTTGGTCTCCCACCATCACAACAGCCTCTGCCTGAACCACTCTTCCTGCTCTTCTGTGAGCTCATCTCTCTAATCTCGCTTAAACATCCTCCCTGAAGAGTATTTCCTCCTCTCACGCCATCTCAGGGTGACCAGCGAGTCGCCCTGTACTTTCCCAGAGCATCAAAACTGCTTGTAGTTACTTTATTGTTTCAGACAGAATTTCACTCTATAGCTCAGGATATGACCCAGGACTCACTATATCTTGAACTTGCAATGATCCTCCAGCCTCAGCCTCCCAAGAACTGGAATTAGACACAGGCCAGTGTACCCAGCTTTGTTTGTTCCCAATTGTCTTCACCATTTTTATTCACTAGTTTGCTTTGCTTTTCAGTAACTTTCTTGGCTGTCTCAGGCAGAGACTATGTCTAGTTCTCCAGACTGGCTCCCTGTACCTGGCACATAGGCATGCACCCCCAAAATTCTACTGATCTCATTAACATGAATAAGATATGTATTGGGCATGGCCTAATTCTATGCACTGGAAATCTGAGCACGAAGAAAACAGTCTTCTGTGGGTGTGAGCACATTTAGTGTTTTCAGGCATTTAAAATGTGGCCTATGTTGGTTAACAACAAAAGTGATGGTGAAGGATACGTGAGGACAGAGAGCATGGACAGAGCCGCTGTGAGGGACAGTGTGACCGTAAACACCTAGTGCAGTGATTTGAACTCACCTCCCGTATAAACCACTTTTTTCCAGTTCTCTGACTCCAGGATTTCATCATGTGGGTAGCAACTCTGGTCGATCATGAACAGAATCATGAGTGAAGCCATGCAGCAGAGTATAAATGTGTTGCCCTTTGTCAGTAGGCAGGTGGAGGCCAAAACACAGGAAGCATAGGGACAAGGTAGACCTTTGTATGCAGAGGGACCTCCTTCTAGGGAGAGATCATGGGCATCTATCACTTTGGGTCTCTCTCCTCTCCCTGAGCTACCAAATTCCCTTAACCCAGGGGTGGGGAGGAGTATGTAGGTTATTTGGTTATTTCAAGCTGATGCTGCACAGGTTTGGGTTGGTTTCTGGGGGACAGCAGGCAATCAGCATAGACCCGGTGTGCCCACACCTTAACGGGTCCTTGGCAGGCCAGGCTGAGCTCACTTCTGGGTTTGTACCCCCTTTCTGTGTGGTCTTCTTAGCTGCCTTCACTGCCACAGCTTCCTTTGTTTGGGGGAACTGGAGTTCTCTAGAACTCCGTTTCTGGAGTGTGTCTACTATACAGATATAGTACAGAAAAGAGACATAACTCCTGAAGAAGCAAGGACTTGTTTCTCCCAGACCAGGGCTCTGCCAATACAGCCCTCAACCTCTAGCAGGCATGGGACTCATGAGGAGGAGGAGGAGGAGGAGGAGGAGGAGGAGGAGGAGGAGGAGGA